TGTATGCAGCCTCGTCATTTGGATGCTGTTGGGTTTGACCAACTGGAGGGATGACTAAGATCTGGTCCCATCTGGTGGACTGCTAGTCATTTAGGCCCTGTTTGGATTACATTTCTCTATAAACAATGTTTCTCTTATTAAAGGAAGAGTTCACCCAAAACTGAAAATTTACTCAGCCTCAGGCTATCCAAGATGTAGATGAGCTTGTTTCTTCATCGAACAGATTTTGAGAAATGTATCATTACATCACTTTCACCAGTGTATCCTCTGCAGTGAATGGGTGCCGTCAGAGTGAGAGTTCAAACAGCTGATAAAAACATCACAATAATCAACACGATACTAGACCATCAATTAATATCTTGTGAAGCGAAAAACTTGCAATACATTTTTTAACTTTAAACTTTAATTAAATTAAAATGAATGTTTTCAGTTTTAGTGGCCTAAATATTTATTTTCAATGTATGTTGAATATGAGACCAAATCAAGATGCAGGTGTTTCTGGGAAGATGATTTCATTTCAGAATAATGTTGAACATAATGTAATTGACAATTGAACTGACAGTTTAGAAAGATAATATCTATAACAAATTTAAAAGAACATCTGAAACTGCCAACACTGAAAAAAATTAATCTGAGTGGATGTAAATGTTACGTAATTAAATCTGTGATATTAACAATAAAATGTTAAGTTGTGAATTATTCTGCATTTGTTCAAAATACAAGACATTGTGCATTTTTTTCCTTTACAAAATTTATCTACATAATCCCAGCCAATCTTTTTAGGTACACACACATAACAAACAATAACCTTGTTTTATTTACTCAGTACAAAATAATTACTTCCCTTCGCATTTTTGGTTTGGAAACCCTGCACATTCCAGACGAAGAGAAGTCTGCACTAAACTTAAGGTAAGAATAAAGTTAAAGTAAAGTGACGTTATAGTTGGTTGTCTTTACAGTTTTTGAATTGTTGTATGAAAAGAGGCTTTATTTATGTGTAATTTGAAGATAACGTTGTTGTACGTGGACTAAACTATGGCTACGCTTGTAGGTGCTTCTGGATGACGCTGTCCTACTTGAGCTCCGCGAAAAACAAACCCAATATTTCTACATGTGAAACAAGGAGGTAATAAGCACACGATTATGATAGTATGGTTTGTGTGTGATTTTCATGTGATTGGAGCTATTTTCATATCAATAATGGATGTTTATTATAAATGCTAAGCATATATTTCAACAACATGACTAAAATCCACACTAGATCGCGATCAGAAGTTAATACAAACAGTCTATGGTGGTTTAAAGTGAATTTTGAGTAAAAGCGTAATATTAATCTTTTAAATTGTGTTATGTAGCTTGATGCTAATTGTAGCTCTAATGCACATGTCGCCATGAGCTATTCTATTCCACAAACTAATTTGATAAAATAATTCACATAAGGTCCCAAGAATATATATTTTTTTGTTTGGTTGTTTGTTTTTATAAAAAGACTTCAAATGTTACTTTACAAAACAGCATTTTTGTGGACGGTAATTGATGATGCACATTTGCCCTAGGATTACACACATGTACATATA